TAATTTGAACACAGGGAACTTCCCAGAGACTCATACTCCAACCAGGGACTATTCCTGGAGATGACCTGGAACCCCTGCACAGGTGTAGCCCATGGCAGTTCAGTGTCCAAGTGGGTTACATAGTAATGGGAAGAGGGACTGCCTCTGACATAATCTGATTGGCCTGCTCATTGATCACTTCCCCCTGAGGGGGGAGCAGCCTTACCAGGCCACAGTAGAGGACAATGCAGCCACTTTTGATGAGAACTGATAGACTAAGATCAGAAAGAAGAGGAGAACCTCCCCTATCAGTGGACTTGGGGAGTGGCATGCATGCAGAAAGGGGAGGGAGGGTGGGATCGGCAGGGGAGGAGGGAGGGGCTTATGGGGGGATACAAAATGAATAAAGTGTAATTAATAAAAAAAAAGAAAAAAAATAAAGCTGCTACAAACATGATTGAGCAAAATGTCCTTGTTGTGTACTTGAGCAATTTTTGGATATATGCCTAGGAGTGGTATAGCTGGGTCTTGAGGAAGCGCTATTCCTAATTGTCTGAGAAAGTGTCAGATTGATTTCCAAAGTGGTTGTACCAGTTTATATTCCCACCAGCAATTAAGGAGAGTTCCCCTTTTTCCACAACCTCTCCAGCATGTGTTTTCACTTGAGTTTTTTTATTTTAGCCATTTTGATGGGTGTAAGGTGAAATATCAGGGTCATTTTGATTTGGATCTCTCTGATGGCTAAGGACACTGAGCATCTCTTTAAGTGTTTCTCTGCCATTCAATATTCCTCTACCGAGAATTCTCTGTTTAGCTCTGTACCCCATTTTTTATTGGATTGCTTGATTTATTGCTTTGTTACTTCTTTAGTTGTTTATATTTTCTGGATATCAGCCCTCTGTCATATATAGGGTTGGTAAAGATTCTTTCCCAATCTGTAGGCTATCATTTTGTTCTGACACAAGTGTCTTTTGCTTTACAGAAGCTTTTCAGTTTCATGAGTTCCCATTTACTGATTGTTGCTCTTAGAGCCTGTACTGTTGGTATAAAACCTGAGCGTTTCCCAAATTTCCTTCTTGGACAGTTACTTAATAAGCTAAGAAAGAACCAAGTATAGCTACTCTAAGGTGAGAACATCCCATCTTGTTCAGCTAATTCTTCAGTAATGAACATTTAATCTTGTTAGGCTAATCTCTCAGTAATCAAGATACATTTTGAAAATAATTTAAATAATAAACATCTACTGTTTGCCTAGGTGATGGTTCTTCAGTTTTAAAACCACTAGATTTTTGGCTAGGCTATTTTGTCATAGGGAATTGGTTTGTGTATTGTTAGATGTTTGTATTCAGTGTGCTTGACCACAGGGTAATGGTTATTTTCAGAAGTCTCCACATATTTTCAGTCTTTTCTATACAGCTTTAAGGTTCTCAAACTATGCCTCTAACATAATGGTTCTCTATGAGAAGGAATACTCTTCTTCCCCTACTGATGTTTGTAAATATATACACATATTTACATATATATATATATATATATACAAATTTATAAATAAATTTGCCTTGTGATTAAGGCTTTGCAGTAAGGGCACACACACACACACACACTATATATATATATATATAATTTTCATTCAAAGAAGCAAATCTTTTCCTGGTCCCAGAATGTAAGTAAGCCAATAAAACTATTCCTGCTGTTCTAATGAGGAGATGACCTGACTGGAGAGTGAAGAAAGAGATGTGTGATATACTTTCTCTGCTGAGTTGTATAATGCTGAGGAGCATGAAGGTGCTTAGCAATTGGCACACATCAGGGTTACCCCTATCTCAGGGATGGCTCCTGCCTATTCTGCAATATTAGCACATTTTAATTGAAGAAGCTAGAGGAAAGGTTCACTAGGAATATGGAGTATGTTGTAAATTGATTCAGGGATCTCCTCTTTAGAGCTGATCAAATCATAAGTGGTAATTTTGTGGAAGATTAAGAGTAAGGCTAATTGCTCTTTGATCACCTCACCCTGAGGTGGGGCAACAGCCTTACCAGAGCACAGAGGAAGACAATGTAGCCACTCCTGATGAGACCTGAATCAGAAGGAAGGAGAGAAAGACCTCCATTCTCTTTCATGTTGAAGCCACTTTGGAGATAGGTGCATTCCTTCCTCTAAGGACCTATCTCTATCAAAGCTATACCTTCCCAAGACAGAGAGAATTCAGTAGGGCAGGGGGGCAAATTATACAAAATAGGCAGTGGACAAAATAGAACAAAGAATAATGATATATACATATGAAACTACCATAAAGTCAATTTCTCATATGGTAATATCTTAGCTATTGGACAGCTTATAAAAGAAAGCACATAATGTTATGGCCTCATGATTCCAGAGGGTTTGAGTCCACGACCATTACAGTGGCAAGCATGGATACAGGCATGGTGTTGGAGCAATACCTGAGAGATCACTTCTGATCCACAGATGTGAGGCAGGCAGAGGCTTAACTGGGAATGGCATTGGCTCACCCTCCAGTGACACACATATCCTGCAACAAGGTCACACCTCCTAATCTTTCCTAAAGAGTTCCAGTAACTACAGACCAAGAACTCAAATATATGAACATATGAGAGTCATATAATTCAAATCATACAGATATTTTTTTAAAAAAGTACTTAAATAAGTGTTTTTTTTTAAATCCTCTTTCATCTCTCTGATAGCATGGGGAATCTAGCTTTCATTATTATTTTGTCTGGGGCTATAGGAGTTTAGTTCTATGATTGCCTAGGTCTATTGATAAAGTTCTACTCCTTAGTATGACTGACATTCAGCACTTGTCAAGATGGGTGTAAGAAAATTGCCATTTAATAAAGCACAAAGGACGGAAATGTGGTAGTATAACAGCCTCTTGTGAAGGAATTTGACTTAGGTAGTTCAGAGACAGTTCTAGGCAGTAATTAATGAAATATTATGAATTTAGAAAATTGTCAGAACAGAAGAGTATGATGGGAATTTTATGTGTACATGCAGATTCATATGAAAGAAACATTTTAGGCCTAGGGAACACAATGTGAATAGACTTTATAGAAAAAGGTCATGGGAAATTCAAGACATTATTAGAATATTATTTGGGGTTTTTTATTGATGTCTGAAAGTGCAAGTACACCCAGCTTCAAAATACTATTAGAATTGATATGACATATTGAAATTGTACTTACTATGTTATAAACAGTATAAACATCAGTAAAGAACTGTCAAAGACCCCCTTTACTGTGAAGGGATGAATTGGCAGATAGAAACTATGTGAAATGAAAAGTTTTCTCCCCAGATTTTCCCCAACAGAGGAAGCCATTTATGAGAAGCTCAGAAGAATCCATAGTACTTTACTTGGTTGGGATGACTTGGACCTATAGTAATGAATCAAGGAAGGCTTCAGGTAGTTGGAAAGTCCTGAATACTATTCTGTGTAAGATATGAATCAGGGAATAAAAGGACAGAGGTAGTATTTTTCACATGAGAGACAACATGAGCAATGATACGGTATTGTAAAGACAATTAAAATGAGAAAATTGGTATAAACTAGATGGCATGAGTGGAAAAGCAAAACACCCTTATTTAACCTGTCTTAAACTGTTTCCATGACACATCAGCTAATCAGTTTAAATGAGAAAAGTAAGGCTTACTGGGTACCATATTTGCTATTTGTTCAAATGTAGGCCTGAAAATACAAGTTGTCATAAATATCAGTCTTGGTGCAGTTGTCTTGAGACTGTCACTCTATTTTTCTGCAAGAGTGTAGGGTAGAAAATGATCACTGTCTATTACCTTCCCAGGACCTTCCTACAAATTTGTATAATTATGCCCCTATCACCATTTAGAGTCCTATTTGTTCAAGCACTTTATTGTAGCAGTTAGTCACTCTAATAACTCATTAAATAATAGCTCTATCTCTGGGCATTAATATTTCCTGAAAGATGTTCACTAAAAGTGTAGATCTGTCCAAAACGGTGACCTACTTTTATAAAATTGTATGAGGTAAGGTGAATGTGTTTGAGCATGTGACATTTTTCCTTACCTTTCAAATGGAAACTGCTTCTTTATAAAGTTACTTTTGATTCCAATATATACATTCTAATAAGTACTAAGAGGTTAGGTTAAAATAGAGACATATAGTAAGAAAGAAAGGGACTTGATTTTGTCTATCTCATCTGATGATTTAACACAAGGATCCCTTACAGAAGCACATGTATTATGTAGTGTATTAGATAAAGTATAGTGCTTGTAAAACATTAAACATGGTCCATAATCCAACTCTACTACTTTCTAGCAGTATGAGTGTTCATAGCATGTGCCTAGTTAGGCACATCATTTATAAGATAACAAGAGTTTCTGGCTCATGAAGTTGCTGTCATTAGGTATAGGTATAAAGAATTTAGTATGGTATTTGATACACTATTAGCTTTCATCTGCTGTCATTGCAATTACTATTTCTTAAATGTCACCACCAGCACTAGTCCTAGGTTCCTTCTCTAACAGGAAATATAATTCTATAATATTTTGCTAAGGCATGGACCAACAAACAACAAAGGAAGAAACAGAAAACTCATCTTACATTAACATGTTCTGTCCTTACATTAACCATCATATGCTAAAGATGATGTATCAAAAATATACTTTTCATAAGGGAAAAACTCATTGGACCTTACTTCTAGACAAAGAACTACAGACAACTAAGGATATAAATATAGTCTTCCCTTTTGGAGGAATCCACTAATTGGCTATCCAGTTCCAATTAGTCAGCCCTGAAATCATGCACACACACACACACACACACACAGACATATGTACATACATATATTCACTAGAAATTAGGGAAAAGGAGGCCAGGAAGTAGGGCTTGGGAGAAAGAAAAGGGAATAGAGGAAAATTATGTAATTATATTTTAATTAAAATATACTTTTAGAAATTATAGTTCATTATGTGAAAGGATATGTGAGGAGAAAAACCAACATTTATGCCTCTGTCCTTGTTTTCACAGGAACCTGTAGACTTGGCTGGGCGTATTACTGTGCTGGGGGCGGAGCTGCTGCAGCCATGTTGATCTGCACCTGGCTTTCTTGCTTTGCTGGAAGAAATCCCAAGCCAGTTATGTTGGTGGAGAGCATTATAAGGAATACCAATTCTTATGCCATGGAGCTTGATCACTGCATCAAACCTTAAGCTTTGAAAAATTTACTAAATTGTGTATGGGTGGGAGGGAAAAAAAGAACTGAAATGAGGTACTAAGCCAAGGCAGCCACCTACTAGTAGTGCAGCCTAGTGCCTGCATGCTTTTGTCATTCATTTTCATGTTCCCATAAAACTGTAAGTCCATGGAGATTTAGTTTTTCTAGCAAAATGATTCATTTGACAAGAGTTTCCACTGCTCATTCAAGTCACATTGAGCTCCTTTATGCAAAATAAGATCTTTACTTGAAAAGTAAATGAAAATCCAAGAAACTCCTCAGAGTTCTATAGGACTCACTTTTCATTTACCTTAAAGTGTTGATGCTATTCAAGAGCAGTTGTACTCTGAGGCACTAGAAGAGGGACTGAGCTAGTTTCCATCCATTCATTTGCATCATTCTCTCCCTAATATTTATTGTTAGCCAGAAACATATCCTGAGTGTTACTATTCAAAACTTCCTTGATATTCTCAGTCCTATACTTTGCCTTGTTCTTTTTCTCTTCTAATACATGGGAAGTCTTGGTAGAAAGGTAACTTGAAATGGGGAAAACACTAATCATGTTTCTGTATAGTCCAGAGCACCTTTCACATTATGCTTTAGAATACTTGTAGGAGTTAATTTTCTTCTCTTTCTGGGTGACTGGTATCAAAATATAGCGACAACTGTTCCATAAACCCTTCTAGATACAGAAATGTTCACTGAATATTTTGAGTGAAGTCTAACATTTGTGAGGTGTTCAATAAATATGAAATCATGGTGATGACAAGAATGTTTTTGCTGTACTCTTGTTGAAAATTTTATCTGAGTTTATTTTAAGTGACTAGGAAGTCTGGATTAACATTTATTCCAGTAATCATCTGTAGCAAGATACAAGTTTTTTCTCCCTGCTTTAATGACTGCTCTTCAAATCATCTTGCTTCCATCTGGGGTGAGTTAGATAAGAAAAAATACAATCATGATGTCACCTAGGACTAAAGTATTTTTAGGCCTGGCTTCTATCCCATCTGTGATCAAGGCTAATGGATAGTGTAGGACTTCATGTCTCCTGGGGGAAAAATTAGTCTCACCCTTTCCCTTAGCTAATTAAGGCCAGTGCTATTATTCCAAAACTCCAGCTTTTGAGACTAGGGATGGCCTGTAAATCAAAATGCTATCTCATCTGTTTCTATTTTTAAATGCTTTGATATGAATTTGGTCCTCCTAGAGGGGAAAAAGTAAAACCAAAATCTGACTTGATTAATTGAAGAACATCTCATACTTGCTTCAAGTATGCAAGTTATTTCAAATATATACTCCATTCATAGTCATTCATAGCTCATTCATTTAGTCACCCATTTAGAAAACATTTCTTAAATATTCCATACTCTGTGCAGAGCATTATGGTTAAATGGTGAAAACAGCTGACATAAAAAGGAATAATGATGAGTTATGGACAAGCATGTCAATAATAATTGTCAGTGTTTTAAGTGCTAGGAAAGTAAAGGTTTAGGAGTAGGGGATAAAGGGTCACAGAGGAGCCACAAAACTAAGTTAGTGGCTTAAGGGATCAAGAAGAATTTTTTAAAAGTGATTACTAAGATGGGCTTGAAAGATGAGAGAGTGATCTAATCATCAAAGGCAAAAAGCACAGAATAGCAAAACCACAGGGACAGCATGATGATCAAAACAAATCATACAAGAAAATTAAAAAAAGTTGGAATTATAAGCAACGCCAGATTCTGTGAAACACAAGGCAATGAATTTTAATTTTAACCTAAAGGATGGCCAATGAAAATAAAGTAACATCAGTGCATTTGTGTTCTTTCAAAGATCTACAGCAAAGAGAATTTAAGAGGCTAGAGAAAGAGAGGATAGGAATGATGTCATAATATAGGTGCCCAATGAATAATTTGGGAACAAAGAATGGAAAAGAGGGGTGAATTCAAAAAAGGTTATAGGTCAAGCCTCTCTGCTTCAGAAATTTCAACTCCAAAGTGCTTTTGAATTTAAACCAATTTGATGTTCTCAAAAAAGAAGTTCAAGATGGTTGCATATTTTATGTATTTTTCCTTTGGATAAAGAATGAGCAACCTTAAACCACACAAACACCCAACAAATAAAGAGAACTTCAGACATATCTCTCTTATGAATATTGATGCAAAAATACTCAATAAAATACTCACAAACTAAATCCAAGAACACATAAAAGATATTACCCACCATGACCAAGTAAGCTTTATCCCAGGAACTCAGGGCTGGATCAATATACAGAAATCTATTAAAGTAATCCACCATGTAAACAAACTAAAGGAAAAAAAAACACGTGATTATCTCCTTAGATGCCGAAAAAGCATTTAAAATATTCCAACACCCATTTATGTTTAAAGTCTTGGAGAGAAGAGAGATCCAAGTCACATACCTAAACATAGTGAAGACAATATACAGCAAGCCTATAGGCAACATCAAACTAAACAGAGAGAAATTTAAATCAATCCCACTGAAATCAGGGACAAGGCAAGGCTGCCACTGTTTCCATATCTCTTCAACATAGTACTTGACGTCCTAGCTAGGACAATAGAAAACTAAAGGAGATCAAAGAGATAGAAATTGGAAAGAAAGAAGTTAAAGTATCACTATTTACAGATGATATGACAGTATACATAAGTTAACCTAAAATTTCTACCAAAGAATTACTTGAGTTGATAAACATCTTCAGGAAAGTGGCTAGATACAAAATTAACTAAAAAAAAAAAATCAGTAACTCTCTTATATATGAAAGAGAAAAAGCCTGAGAAAGAAATTAGGGAAATGATACCCTTCTCAACAGCCTTTAATAACATAAAGTACCTTGGTGTGACTCTAAACAAGCAATTGAAAGAACTTTTTGAAAAAACTTCAATTCTATGAAAAATGAAATTGAAGAAGGTATCAGAAGATGGAAATATTTCCCAAGTTCATGGATTGGTAGAATTAACATAGTGAAAATGGCCATCCTGCTAAAAGCAATCTACAGATTCAATGCAATTGCCATCAAAATACTAACAAAATTCTTTACAGAACTTGGAAGAAAAATTCTCAATTTCTTATGGAAAAACAAAAGAAAACAAAACAGAATTTCTAAAACAATCCTATACAACAATAGATCATCTGGAGTTCTCTTCATCCATGATATCAAGCTGTGCTACAGAGCAATAGTAATAAAATCTGCATGGTATAGGCATAGAAACAGAATGGTGGATCAATGGAATTGAATAGAAGACTCAGAAATAAACCTACATAATTATGGACCCGTGATTTTTGACAAAGAAGCCAAAACCATACAATGGAAAAAAAGACAGCATCTTCAACAAGTGGTGCTTGTCTAACTGGATGTTTACATGTAAAAATAATACAAATAGATTCATATTCATTACCCTGTACAAAACTAAAGTCCAGGTGGATCAGAGACCTACATATAAAACCAGACATCATATATATGCTAGAAGAAAAAGTGCGAAAGAGTCTTGAATTCATTGGCTCAGGAGACAACTTGCTGAACAGAACACCAACAGTACAGGCTCTAAGAGCAACAATCAATAAATGGAACCTCATGAAACTGAAAAGCTTCTGTAAAGCAAAGAATACTTTCATCAGAACAATACAACAGCCTACAGACTGGAAAAGCATCTTCACAAACCCTGTATCTGACAGAGGACTTATATCCAGAATATATAAAGAACTTAAGAAATTAGACACCAAGAAAACAAATAATCCAATTAAAAATTGGCTACAGAGCTAAACAGAGAATTCTCATTAGAGGAATATTGAATGCAGAGAAACACTTAAAGAAATGCTCAACATACTTGGTCATCAGGGAAATGCAAATCAAAACGACTGAGATTTCACCTTATATCAATCAGAATGGCTAAGATCAAAATCTCATGTGACAACACTTGCTGGAGAGGATGTGGAGAACAGGGACCCCCCGCCCACTTTCTGGTGGGAATTGCTACTGGGAGTGTAAGCTTGCACAACAACTTTGGAAATCAATCTGGCACTTTCTCAGACAATTGGGAATGGTGCTACCTCAAGATCCAGCTATACCACTTCTAGGCATATATCCAAAGCGGGTCGAGTACACAAAAAGGACATTTGTTCAACCATGTTCATCACATCTTTATTCCTAATAGCTAGAACCTGGAAACAACCCAGATGTCCCTCAATGGAGGAATGGATAGAGAAACTGTGGTACATTTATACAATGGAATACTACTCAGCAATTAAAAACAAGGAAATCATGAAATTTGCAGGCAAATGGTGGGAATTTGCAGGCAAATGGTGGGATGTAGAAAAGATCATCCTGAGTGAGGTATCCCAGAAGCAGAAAGACACACATGGTATATACTCACTTATAAGTGGATATTAGACATATAAGATAGAAAAAACATACTAAAATCTGTATACCTAAAGAAGCTAAGCAAGAAGGAGTACCCTGGGTAACATGCTCAATCCTCATTGAGAAAGGCAAATGGGGTGGACATTGGAAAGAGAAAACAGGGATCAGGATAAGCACCTACCAGGGAGGGCTCTGAAAAACTTTACCCAGCAGGATGTTAAAGCAGATGCTGAAACTCATAGCCAAAATTTGGGCAGAGTTCAGGGAATCTTATGAAAGAAGGAGGAGATAGAAAGACCTCAAATGGACAGGAGCTCTATATGGAGAGCAACAGATCCAAAATATTTGGGCCCAGGTGTGTTTTCTGAGACTGATACTCCAACCAAGGACCATCCATGTAGATAACCTAGAAACCCTGCACATATGTAGCTCATGGCAGTTCAGTCTCTAAATGGGTTCCCTAGTAAGGGAAGCAGCGATTGTCTCTGACATGAACTCAGTGGCTGGATATTTAATCACCTCCCCCTGAATGTGGGGGCAGCCTTACCAGGCTGCAGAACAAGACAGAGCAACCATTCTTGATGAGACCTGTTAGGGGCTTGGGTCAGATGGATGGGTAGGTGGAACTCCCCTATTTGTGGGCTGGGGTAGGGGCATGGGAGGAGAAGAGAGAATGAGAGTGGGATTGAGAGGGAATGAGGGAGGGGATTAAAGCTGGGATAAAGTGTGAATAAATTGTAATAATTAAAAAATAAAACAAAAAAGAGAGTGCAGTATATGAAAAACATGTTAAATGGCCAGAAAAGACAGATTACTATCTTAGAAAAGGCAATTCAATTAGGTGATTAATTTTTCAGGCTATGGTATTGTTTGTAATTCTTTGGCACAGAACTTGTGCAGGTGATTTATTCCCAAGTATCTTACAGTCAAACACTGTTAATACTCAATGAGTTTGCATGAGATAAGTGTAACAATAGAGCCACATATGATGGTCCATGTAGGGTAAAGGATACCTACCAGCAATAACGAAAAATTCTGTCAGCTAGGGTCATTCTTAAAGACTCCCAGGAGCCTACCCTGTACCAGAGATGGACACCTACCAATTTCTGTTCTCTCTCCCAGTCCTTCCCACCCCACTCTCCCACACTTGCTTCTCTCTCACAGACAGTTTCTCTCCCTCCATCTACATCAGATGGCTATTTTATTTTCCCCTTTGAGGGAGATTAGGGAGATTCAAGCATCATCACTTGGGCACTCGTTGTTACTTAGGGGGTTTATGGATTATAGCATGGTTATCCTGTACTTTAAAGATAATATCAACTTATAAGTGAGTACATACCAGGTGATTCTTTCTGGGTCTGGATTACCTCTCTCAGGGTGATCTTTTCTAGTTCCATCCATTTG